CCAGGCAGTGCATCATAACAGTGACCTCTCTTCTCTCACCCAAACTTCTTCTCTGGGGCAGACGCCAACAAGACCACTGTCACTAAGGAAAAAGGAGAAAAGTGCCACCAGGCAAAATGCTTGAGAGGTGAAGGAGAGATGTGCGGAGGTGAAGGATGGGTCTGCTGTATTTGTCCTCCTCAGCTGCTGAGAGCAGGAGCAGAATAATTAACTTCATGAAATTTGCCAGCAAAATTTTTGACAGTGACTGCTTTGTTTCACTGTGTGCACATTACAGAGGTTCACAGTGGTGATGGAGGAGGACTACAGGGCACCAGCAAGATACTCCATTTCTCCATGTTCCTTTTAAATCATTCTTTCTTTAGAGATTCATTGGTATTGCAACAGGTGTTACTTCATGTGATGTCCAAGGCTGCCTATTTTAGTTTACTGTTTCCATGTCTTCCAGCCCAGATTTCTACCACATTAGAAATATTGTCCACCAAGCACTGGTAATACAAATGGAAAAATAACCACTGCCCTGCTTCCAGCAGAGCTTCTGACTTGGGCATCAGCCTTATGAATGGCTTTATCTAGAGTTTCCTGAGAAGCGGTATCAATAACATCTAGTACAGCACTAGGTCCATTATGTAGTTCCTTCAGTTATAGAAAGTAGGAGAAAATTTGTTTGTTTGCTTGTTTTCAAATGAAAAATTGAAGTCCATGACTCCCTCTGAATAAAAGCCATCAAAAAAGAGTGAATGAAACTTGCTTTTCTAAACCATGCTGTTGTGAACAGCACCACAGCTTGCTTATAATGTGAACACCTGTTCCTCTACAACATCCAGTCCATCTTCTCACAAGAAAGAGAGAAGAGGAAGGGTCTTATGGACTCTGTTTTGCTCACCAAGAATTAGCCAAGAGGGAAATCCTTCCTTCAAGGCAGTTATTTTTTCAGCATACACAGTAGGAGACACAAGTTTATTAGTGAAAATCAATCACATTTCTGCTCTTAGGAAGGCTGGTTCTTCTGACAGGGGAAGTTGTTACCATCAGAAAAAAGGTGACACTTCCTCCTCTGAAAGAGGAGCATCATCCTAGCAACAAACCACTGTGGTGTTTAGGCTTTGTTTTTTTCTTTACTCCTCACCATTATCTATTGTCTCAGCGGTATTTACCTAAACTCTGTTTATGATCAAGGGTTTATAATACACTGTGGCATACCAAAATAAGTAGATGTAAGACTTGGGCCTTAGACAATGCAGAGTTTAAGGACTTCACCTTCGTCCTTAGCTTGTACTGATAGTTGTGATGATCTAAACCAGTCAGAAGCAGAAACTTTAACCTTCCACTGGGAATGGAAACCACCAGCATGGCTATCCTTATGCTAACAGTCATCAGCTTTTAAGGCAAGAGCATACCAAAAGGTCAAAACAGCCCAGGGAAGAGCCACCACTGCTTTTCTGTAATGCTTTTGCTCTGCTCCAAACACCGTGTAACAGAGTCTCTGAACTCAGAGATTTGCTTGACCTGTGTCCAGCTCCCTTCAGTTAGTGAGGCACATGAATACAGCAGCTGGAAACATGAGAAGACTCTGGACAAAGAGAAGAGGTTAACTAGGGAATGTTTAAACTCCTTTATTACAGCTTCAAGTGATCCCTTCCTAAGGGCCAGAAACCAGGAACTGGCAGACTTCTAAGGGCTCCTTTTGTACAATTCCAAGCCAGAATATTTAACCTCCGTCTTTGTCATGGATCATAGGAGGCAGAAGATTTTGCTGCTAGATTTGCAAGGACCCTTACCACTCCAGTAACTTCCAAAGGTTCTGCTGTGGCTGGGACAATTTATTCCTTTAGGCCATCCCGGGGCAGTGCTATTCTCAACAACATCTGCGATAACATACAAAGCTGCCTCCCTGACGGCTGCTTTGCATTGCTGCTCCCTGCGCTTAAGGGCTTTAGGGGCACAGGCAAGCTACAGGAGGTCAGTGTTTGGTGAAGCACCCAAGAACTTGCCTAGGAGCTTGTCCTTCTCTATTTCTTTGCCATTTTGCAAATAAAACGGCATCCCTGTGTTTTTTCAAGCCCCAGTCCCCCTTTGTGAGTGCTCTCTCAAGAGAGCAGCAGGGCAGGTCAGGTTCAGCTGACCAGGCGCTGAGGACAAGGAGCAATGCATGGTTTTAGACCTGTCAGAGCTTTGCCACAAAAGTACTTCAAACCCCCATCCAAAACAAAAGCAGCTAAAAGAAGAAATAATCCCTGAGCACATTAAAGCAAATTAAAATGGATAATATTTAAGCTGGTTATGAAATCAGAAGTAAAGGGCAAAGCAACTCAGCAACTCACTGAGAGCAAAGCAAATGAATTTGGCTCTCAGAGGTTTGTTCCACCTGCAGTCAGAAGAACTGAGTTCCTTTTTATGCTGTTATGAACATGTTGGAGTCTAAAAATGTTATCAGAAATATCTTCTCTTCATCTCCGTGTGTAAGGGCTGATAAGAAACACCATATGCAAGATTTGCTACCGGTGCTTTTGTACAAGTCATTTAGCAAGGACAATGACAGGAGGAGGAAGTTGAAGTCCAGTCCACTTTGCCCAGATTTGACTTAGTAATTGCTACAATTTCATGCAATGCAGTCCATAAACTTATCTCTCGAGTTTGTAGATTGTCTGTCAACAGCTGAAAAAAATAATCAGAATTCTAACACAAATCCTCGAGATGTATATCCTTTGTAATCACATTGCCTGAGTAGTCAGTATTAAAAGTACAAGGCAGACTGATGAAGTCTGGATAGCCTGGTGGATCACATTAAATTTTTCTGAATAATTTTTGTTTGTACATCTCAGCTGCATGTGCAAAGGAAAGACCCTTTAAGAATAAAAGGTCCTAATAGCTATATAAATATGACAAGGGTGAAAAATAATAAAATGGTCATAGGACACTTTTCCAGTTAAAAAAAATATTGCTGACTTGACTGGTTATAGACATCAATATATGCTATAATAGAAATCGGTATCACAGGATTACTTCCCAGGAGAACCCTGCATGTATGAGCAGTCCCGGCAACTCATGTATTTTCCAGCACCTAAGACACACTGGTGTAGAAGTGTCTCTCCTCAAAAACGGAAGTTAGAGAGACTTGGTACCAACTTCATCCCCTGCTGCTGGGGGTGAAACAGCTCCTGCTGCATCTGTCACTGTTTCTCTGCTGCAGCAGGGACAAGAGCAGCAGTGACAGCATCCCATTGAACAGGCGTAGCAGGGGTTCATAAATAACATCAGCATGTCAAATACATCTGAATCTGAACTTCCTCTTACTCTTTCAATTTTGAGGAATAAAAAATGCATCCATTGTATCAATAAATTTGTAATTTGAATGACGTCAAATAACTGATGGTGTCAGCTTTTTGTATGCCTAAATGCAAATCTATGCTAATAGGGCATTATTTAGCTTACAAAGCAAACAAATTAAAATTTAAGAAATGCCAATAGGAATATTGCTTTTGCAATTTGAGATAGATCGTCTTACAGATGCAGGCATGTACACACATCGGTATGAGACTGCTCGTGACTCAAGTTCTCCAACACTTATTGGAGATATGGAGTATCTCATGTGTTGCATCTGTCCTTCAATATACAAGGCCAGCACTGGAAACTCCTCTTTGCTCTCTGCTGACAAAGGGATGGAGTAAGTCCTAGTACCAAGATAAAGCCTATGGGTAGAAGAAATATTTTTAATTAAGCCAATTAGTATAGTTAGAAAAAGAAAACCTTCCAAGCAAACAAATTCTTTATAGGTCAGAAACAGAAACAGCAAATTCCCCAAATAAAGTTGGAGGTGTTTGTGCTGAAAACAAAACAAACAAACAAAAAACCCAACAAACAAAAACATCTACAACCCTGGGATCTGATCTCCATAGAGGCAAAGACTTCTCTGTGGCACTTGATGCAAATCTCTGTAGATGGTTAATTGCCTGCTGTAGGGGCAGATATTGCTTTCCCCCTCTCCCAAGATATGCTATATGTCTGGGAGAGGCCCTTGCTCTGTGGCAGTCACTGGCTCCAGCTGCAGAGGTAGTGGGAGAGCAAAACCAGGCCCCCCAGCAGCTATGGGTGGGAGAACAGTTGTGGCATGAGCCACAGGAGGATGGGGGTAGCACAAAGCAGGAACTAATCCCTCTCCACCCGTGACAAGTCAGTGCAGCTCCACAACCCAGCCCCAAAACAGGGTAACACGCAAGGCAGGTGGTATCCACCCAGGTATGGCCCTGAGCTCCTTCCCCACCTAAATCACTTACAGCCAGCCTAAGGCGCCACTATGCTCCTGCTGCCCACCAGCATTTTGGCACTTGCTCTTGCAGATCTGTCTTCCGAAAAAAGTTATTTTTCTTGTGTGTTTCCTCATGATGATGTCCAAAAGGTCTAAGGATTGCCAGTGCTGCACTAAGAAAAGAAACACAGATAAGTGGAATGGGTAAATGAAAACATTACCAAAGTGGCAGGATGGGTGCAGCAGATAATGAGCTGGGTCTGTTAGCAGGTTGAGCTGCCTCTCTGCCTCTTTCATTTGGGAAAGCCACTACCAAAAGCTTCAACTCACAAGTGAATTATCAGCGATTTACTGGAGGGCAAGCAGGAGCAGCAACTGGCCTGCCAGCCTCTCCAGTTTCTTTTCTGAACTTGCTTTTCAACTTATCTGTTCCTTTAAACTTCTTCTAAGCATGCATGCTTGCAAGTCACCTCAGGTTAGCTTTGTCAGAATAAAACCAGATTATTCCACATAACCAGGTTTTGGCTCTTCCAAATTCCCCTGAATGTTGAAAGCTATTAATCTGACATGTTTTCCAGCCTGTGATTCTCCTAGCATGGCTTTGTGGTGGCCTGATGTCACACCTAACCACAAAAGACCATGATCTAATACACCATAACTGTTAAAAAATATAGTGTCCAACACATTGGTTTCCTAACCTCACGGGGAAAACATTTATGCCATAAAACTTCTTAACCTTTAAAAAAGAAGGGCCCTTAAAGATGGTATTTTAAATACCATGAGGTATATAGGGGGAGTAGGAATATTAAATGAGTGAGTTTCCTTCTTTTTTTTTCCTTTTTTTTTTTAATTTTGGAGAAAACAGAAGTATTTGGTACTTGTGTAGAATAAAGAAAATGTTCTAGAGACATGAAAGGATGTTTTTTTAACGTCCAGGTCTCTTTTTTATCTTTTAGACTCTTTTATACACTGTCAGTTCAGCGGTGTGGCATCGCTGGAGCAGTATAAAGCAGCCTCTGGATGAGAATTTGGTTCAGGAAGCATGGAATTGCAATTCAAAAAGTCAATCATTTGCAGGCTTAAACTGAAAAAAAAGACTTTAAGGAAAGGATACAGGAAAATGCAGTTCATCTATTGCACAATGCTGGTGGTGAGGTTAAGGTGGTGGAAGGTGCTTTCAGGACATTGTGTACAGGCAGGAAACTGTGAAGGGACAAAAATGTAAAAGAAGATGAACCCTTCGGGACAGACGTCAGCATCACAGCTAATCACTTCTTTTCAGCAACTGAGATTCTGCCCTGATTTATAAATGTGCTGCTTGTGTTTAGAGCTAAATCAATTTATCTTGAAATGCAGCCTTTTCCTGAGGGCTTGTGGCCTGTAAAGCTCTGCCTCTTTTTTCTGCCCTTTTTTTTTTTCCCCTTTGCCTGGCAATGGCTACATGCCCATGTATAACTAAGGTGGAAGCTGGCAGTCCCCCAGAGGTGGGGGAAAAGCTGGAAACTTCCAGGTCACGCTCAGGAATCCAGTCTTCCATGAGGCACAGGACACTGCTTCTGAGCAGGAAAGATGCTTACAGCTGCTTTCTGTTCTCAGAGACAAGTTTAGTACTGTCACTGTCTAAATTAACTCATTCTCTGCAGACCAAGAAATGCAATCACTGCTACCACTGGTGATTAATGCATGCATTTCTATTTCCCCCTCCTTTCAATAAGGCAAGGAAAGGGTGCTGTTCATTTCTTCCCTCACTGAAATCTCACAAGCTGATGGTCCTGCAGCTGGCTGTGACATCCCAATGACCCCAAACCTGGAGGTGAAGGTGTGGGGACACCAGGGGGAGGTTCTGATTGCAGTTCAAGCTTTCACAAAGCTTTCTGGTGTGCAGGCATTCTAAGCAATACCTCACGCCAGTCTGACCCCAGGCTGCACACCTGGGCTGATGCAAACACAGATTTGGATTAGAGATGCCTGCTTCAGGCCAGCTCTACCTTCAGTGCTCTCAGGAGGCACTGAGTGCTGCCTCAGATCTGACAGGCAGAGCCTGGGGCTGCAAAAGCTGGGAAATCAGTCTAAAAGTGGATGTTTCAGTAAAAGTTTGTTTTTCAGCTCTGTTTTGCTGCCTTACAGTTCATCAGGGTAGAAATGTGGGCAAGTGGTTTTTGGTACAGAGGCGCCTTTTCATTTTAAAAGAATGTCCCCACCAACCACAACCCCATGTAAGGAAAAAGCAGCGACTTACTGGTATAGCTGTCAAGTGGGAAAGCAGAATTACACTCTCTGTTAAACCTTACTGTCATTTTAGTGAGACTTTGATGGCTTCAACTGTTCCTTACCAGGAGTGACGTGGGCATGGAGGTCAGCATACACCCCACACCCAGCTTTTTGGGCTGCTAAAAAGCAGAAGCCTTTCAGAGCTATGCCAGGCAGAGTTTCTTTGCTCCCTGATGTGTTGTGGTTGTTTAGGTCTGTGTGTTTATTTAGGTCTGTGTGTTTACCTACATCAGAGAAAACATGGGAGGAAATATTTCTCATTACGGCATGATGTGCTGCAGCTGAGGTCTTGACTTCCAGTTTACTGGATCATCTGGCATAACTACCATTGTGCATTTGTTATGTTTTGACTGAAGGATTAATGTCCCAGTGACAAACTGAAATGCATGGAGAGCATTACAGACAAAGGTGAAGAGAAAAATTTCTCTTGCCTTATACAGAAAGCATGCCATATTCAGCTTGATAAGTTAGCCAAGGGAAAAGATAATATTCATAAGCTGTTACCAAAATGTAAAGGTTCCGGAGCACAAGGCAGTCACTGCTGGGTGTTTGGATGAATAAAATATGGATTGTTATCCAAGCATGATCCTGAAAATAAGAAAAGAGTGGAATAGTTTTTATTCCGATTTTGTAGACAAATTCTGCCTTTATAATGGAACAATCTCAAATTCCAGGCACCAGGAAAAGAAACTTGGGAGATACAAAATGTGGAGGACATAGGATGGCATTTTGGAGCACAACTTCATCTGCTGTAAAAAACAAAACCAAATGCTGAACTCTTTAACCCAACCATAGTATCCTGCTGATTCAAGAAGCCCTTCCATTCAAAGAATGTAAACCCTGCTATGACAGGAGCTGAGAGCTCTCTTTTATGGAGAGCAGGAAACTTTCCTAAAGGGCGAGTTTATGACCTGGCTGGAGAGCTGGAAATAATTAAGTGTTCTTGTCAAAGGTCAAAGTCATAGGGTTAAATTCCTAGGAACTCAAAACAACCCTCGGTGACTGTTCCAAGACTGATCATTTGGCCCTTTTCTGCCCACAGTGGGAAGGCAGCAAGCAGCCTGGGACAGGAGTGAGCCATGCCTCAATTATCTGCCCTTTCCAATTCCAAGTCTGACATTTTGAGACTCATCATAGGCTCGTGGTCTAAAAAAGCATAGCTGAAGTTAGAAAAAATAAGTAAATCTGGGAATAAGAATTGAAGCCAAATGATCTATTTATAGCAACACCAAATATGAACTAAACGTGAAATGACAAACTAAGATTCTGATTCAGATTCTACTTCTGATGTAACCCTGTCAAATTCAATGGAGCATTAGACTCTGCAGCAAGAATCTGCCTCGAGATGAAAACAGCAGCACTGGTTTGGCCCTTGGGGAGCTGTCGTGCTTTGCTGTATACATGAAAGCTGCAAAACAGTCTACATCTGTAGGGACTTCAGTGCTTAAATTTGAAGCCATGCATGGTGTTATTACTGAGCAATGCTCAAAAATGTAATGAGGTGGAAGGGGCAATTCACTCATTGGGTGCTTTTCTACCATATGGCAAACTTAGCCTCTCAGAGAAGCAACAGTCTGTTTCCCCTTGTGAAATGCAGCTTAAACATGGTGCAATAACAAGTAGTATGAACTTGCTAATGTCCCCAACACAAGCTATAAGCACTTCCTGGTGAGACATATGGCTTACAGCTCCATTCAATGTGTTCACCAGCCTGAAAGCAGAAAGGCAAGGAGGTGGACTGATACCTCCTGCACACACCACATGCTGCAGGGAGACATGCACTAGGTTATTGCCCTGAGAATGGCTTTCCCCACTGCCTTTCGTTCAAAGTCTTTTGTCCTTGCCCCTCCAAAAAATATTTGACTCTTGCTAATGCCCTTTTGGCAGAAATGAGCGTCTTTACAAGGCAAAAAAAATCACCCCAAAAAAAACCTTGGAGAGTGTTTCTCAGCTCTAATTTAGTATGGGGTCAAATTGTCATAGGCCAAACAGATTTTCTGGCTATACCAGGAAAGTTTTACTTAGTGTTTTAAGGTAAAAAGTATCTTTATTCATCCTTGTACAAGGAATCAGATCATTCTCTCTCTGAGTCCCTTGCTTGACTCAAAACAATCTGGTATCAAATTTCTCCGTAAAATGTCTCAGGTTGGATCTGAATTCGAAACTTGGTGGACACCTTGCTTCACAATGGGATGAACTGAGGCCAAATAAAACTCCTGGTGAGATTTGGACTAGTCCAGGTCTTGGCACTGTGGGATGGCTCAGCCTCTACTGCAGATGCCCCTTCTGCCTGTGCCTCTTCTCACACTCTTGTTCTGACAGTCTGCAAGCTATCCTGCTCCATCCATTTATCCTTAGTCATCCCCCTCCTTCTTCCTGTTCATATTTCTAAAGCCGAAGAGCAACTGAGACCATGCAGTGACCTTCTGCACTGACTGCTCTGTCTTTTGTGAATCTAAATTGATTTTCCTTGCAAGAGAACATCCAGGATGTACCCTTTGACCTTCAGCCAGAGGTTGTGTATTAGGAGTAAGAGAGAATGTGAAACCAGCATTTGACTGTCAGCAGTGGCAAGAAATACGAGCCATGCTCTACTAGAAAACAGTCTGTTTCTGTCCAGTGCCTGGAAACATGGGAATTACCAGACTTGCTTAGACACAAGGGTCAATATTCCTTCTCTGATGCTAGCCAGCACCAGATGCTCCAGAGAAAGGTCTGAGAAGCCTGTAGCTCTCAGATACAGGATAATCCCATTCTTATCTCCCTGCTTTGGAGAACAGTATAGCCAGCATGCACACGAATACAGGCACATAAAGAGCTCTCTTCCTGGAAATATCACAGTATTCTGTGTCACATAAAGTATTGTTAAATACCTACTGCAATAGCAAGTAACTGACCCCAAGAACCAGCTCTGTGAAGGAAGGGAAGGAATAAGACAAGGCATGCTGAGGGTTCAGCAATTCTGTTTAGCACATGGGTTTCTATAGCTGGTGTGAAGCAACAATTCAACTGAAAATGACCAAAAAACCCCAACCCTGTTCACCAGCCCAGAGCCAGCAGTCCAGACAGGAGCTAAAATACCATCATTTTGACAGAAGAACAAGGTTGTTGGAAAAAACCGCCAACCCTCCACCCATATTCTTCTAACCTGTGCATATTCTTGATCATGATTTAGTGTCCTTTTTCCATGCATCCAGGGTCAGCTGTTAGGCTTCCTGATAGCTTTAGGCAAGTAGTCACTGACCTTCAAGTCCACAGCCAGTGTTCAGTTTGCTCCTCCCAGCACTTACCTGCTGGAAGGAAGATGAAAAGGGACCAGGCTGAGTTTGGATATGTTTCTATGCTGCCCTTTCTACCTATCTAGGATTTAATAACATTTTTTCATAACAACACTGGCCCACAAGGAAAAATAGGCTTTCTCTGTTTAAGCTGTAGCTGGGGATTTGATGTGAGGTTTGTCAGGGATTCTGGAAAGCTACTGGAACAGACACTGTAGATTTCCTGGCCCAATTTCTTTCTGTGTTTTGAGTTTATCTCCTGTTACATAACTCAGATGATTATGAAAACACTGTTCAGTACCCGCAGCTCAGATGACAGGAGGAGGAGGAGGAGGAGGAGGAGGAGGAGGAGGAGGAAGTTGGTGTTGACCTGTTAGAGAATTTTGTTATTGATACAGTTGAGGAAAACAGGTCTCAGCACGCTTTGCTTGTTTAATTAGTGTCTGTTTCTAAGCCTCACATGTCCCACAGAACTCTTTCTGTAGCAGTAATTAAAACAAGTAAAATTGTAGAGAGATCTAAGATCACAGAATCATGGAATAGTTAGGGTTGGAAAGGACCTTAAGAGCATCAAGTTCCAACCCCCCTGCCGTGGGTAGGGACACCTCACACTAAACGATGTCACCCAAGGCTTTGTTCAACCTGGACTTGAACACTGCCAGGGATGGAGCATTCACAACTTCTTTGGGCAACCCATTCCAGTGCCTCACCACCCTCACAGTATAGAACTTTCTCCTTATAGCCAATCTAAACTTCCCCTGTTTAAGTTTTAACCCATTACCTCTTGTCCTATCACTACAGTCCCTAATGAAGAGTCCCTCCCCAGCATCCCTATAGGCCCCTTTCAGATACTGGAAGGCTGCTATGAGGTCTCCACGCAGCCTTCTCTTCTCCAGGCTGAACAGCCCCAACTTCCTCAGCCTGTCTTCATACAGGAGGTGCTCCAGTCCCCTGATCATCCTCGTGGCCCTTCTCTGGACTTGTTCCAACAGTTCCATGTCCTTTTTATGTTGAGGACACCAGAACTACACACAATACTCCAAGCAAGGTCTCACAAGGGCAGAGTGGAGGGGCAGGATCACCTCCTTTGACCTGCTGGTCACGCTCCTTTTGATGCAGCCCAGGATACGGTTGGCTTTCTGGGCTGCAAGTGCACACTGAAGCTGGCTCATGTTCATTTTCCCATCGACCAACACCCTCAAGTCCTTCTCCTCAGGGCTGCTCTGAATCTGTTCTCTGCCCAACCTGTAGCTGTGCCTCGGATTGCTCCGACCCAGGTGTAGGACCTTGCACTTGGCATGGTTAAACTTCATGAGGCTGGCATCAGCCCACCTCACAAGTGTGTTGAGGTCCCTCTGGATGGCATTCCTTCCCTCCAGGGTATCAACCAAACCACAGAGCTTGGTGTCATCGGCAAACTTGCTGAGGGCACACTCAATCCCACTGTCCATGTCAGCGACGAAGATGTTGAACAAGACCGGTCCCAACACCAATCCCTGAGGGACACCACTCGTTACTGGTCTCCAGCCGGACATTGAGCCATTGACCACGACTTTTTGTGTGCGGCCATCCAGCCAGTTCTTTATCCACCGAGTGGTCCATCCATCAAATTGATGCCTCTCCAATTTAGAGACACGGACGTCGTGTGGGACAGTGTCGAACGCTTTGCACAAGTCCAGGTAGATGACATCAACTGCTCTACCCCTGTCCATCAGTTCCATAGCCCCATCATAGAAGGCCACCCAATTGGTCAGGCAGGATTTCCCCTTAGTGAAGCCATGCTGGCTGTCACCAAGCACCTTGTTGATTTTCATGTGCCTTAGCATGCCATCCAGGAGAATCTGCTCCAAGATTTTGCCAGGCACAGAGGTGAGACTGACTGGTCTGTAGTTCCCTGGGTCAGCCTTTTTCTCCTTCTTGA